ATTTCATGTCAGATGTCATTCTGTATGCTGTGAATATTGGTTAATAAAGAAACTCATTTGGCCAATAGCCAGGCAGAATAGAGTCAAGCAGTAAATCCAAGCAGAGTTACAGGAGAAAGAAGGGTGGAGTCTGGGAGACGCCATCCAGATGCCAAAGGAGAAAGATGTCTGAGCATCACAGGTAAGCCAAGGGCTTCATGGTAAGACACAGATTAATAGAAATGGGTTCTTTAAGTTGTAATAGCTAGTTAATGATAGGCTAATAGGCCAAACAGTTTGTAATTAATACTAAGCCTCAGAGTGGTTATTCGGGAACTGGTAGGTGGGAGAGAAACAGGTCCAGTGGAACCAGGAGAGACATAGAAAAGCTTCCGACTACATATTTTCACACACACAGGCAAAACATTTAAACACATTAAAATAAACATATTTTGTTTTGGTTTTTCGAGACGGGGTTTCTCTGTGTATCCCTGGCTGTCCTGGAACTTGCTCTCTAGATCAGGCTGCCCTTGAACTCACAGAGATCTGCCTGCCTCTACCTCCCAAGTGCTGGTATCACCCAGCAAATCTTTTTTCTTTTCATCCTAAAAAGTCAATAACAACAATAAGCTCCCGGAAGTAGTGGCTGTTTGAGGCAGAGATGCAAGACAAAAGGTTAATAAATAAGAAGTCAACTGCTTTCCTATAGGCCAGGTAGGAAAAGCTGGGCTTGAAATTAAACACGCAAAGCTAGTCACATTTGTATCCAGAAAAGGAAGGCATTGTGCTTCACACTAGCATCCCAGAAACTTGGGAGAATGAGAAAGGAAGACTGACAAGCATTTGAGAGGCCAGCCTGGGGCCATATAATGAGAGTCCGAACAGCATAGCAAGACCTTGTCTTGAGGAATTAAGGGAAGGAAGGAGGAGGAGAGTTACTGGCAGACTGCAAATAAGATATACAATGACAGTTTAAAAGAAAGAGCATATGAAAAGAATGGCTAAAGTCCAAAACTCAGCAACACCAAATGCCAGAACAGATGAAGCACAACCAAATGGATTTGTTGTCTAACTGCTTTCTGAAGAAAACATGTTTGCATCCACGTGTTAGGGCTGCTCTCAGCCTTGCTCAGACAAGCTTCTTTTTTTTTTTTTTTTTTTTTCAGTGGGCAGCAGCTAACAGTCTCATAACCGGTCCAAATGCAAGAATGAATGACTATTGAGTGCTCAGCCCTAAGCAGGTCATCACTGTGTCTGTGCCCAAGGCTCAGAGAACACTGTAGAACAGGGGGTGAAAAGAATGGAAGGGCAGGAGGCTGGGATGGGTGCTGCGAAACACTGTCTTAGGGACACGACATGGCCATTCCACTTACGAAATAACAGCAGCAGTGGCTGACCTGCACAAGACTGGACCCTTCAAACTCTCCATGACAGAAACAAGTAGGTCCTGGGAGATCCAGCCTGTCTCCGAGGAGCCACTGGCAGTTAGTGACTATCACAGGGGAGGGGTTATTTCGTCAGCGGCATGGCCAGTGGTTGCTGTCCATGCCTTGGTAAATGCTCCCCAGCCATACTTATGAAGGCAAGAGCCCTCACTGAACTCACAAAACAAGACATGAAACTGGGAGGGTGACCATGACCAAGAAAGGGTTCAGTGGGGGCATTCAGAGAGGCTACTGGAGCATTTACATGCACAAAATCACCAAATAATACATTTTATTACATGTATTTATTTATTCTCAGGGAAAGGGTGCATGTCACAACAAATGTGTGGGGGTCAGAGAACAACTTGAAGGAGCTGGTTCTCTCCTTCCAGGGGTGCCAGGGAATGAACTCAGGTCCTCAAACTTGGCAATAAGTGTCTTTACCTGATGAGCCATCCTACCAGTCCTGTTCTGTGGGTTTTGATACATGCATGACTTATGAACCTATGTAAAGATGGAAGGAGTGAACCAGCTCCATGAAGTAATTCTCTGACATTTGAATGCCTGTAGTGGCACACATGCACTTCCCTCCAACAATAACAAATAAAATAAAGGTTAAAAAATACTATACAAGACGAGAGTGAACATTAATGCCGAATCTGGACATTGACAGTAATACACTGACTTTACAAAATGCTCCACTCTACGCAGAATGCTGATGTTGATAACCTGGGAGAGTGTGTGAAGTCTATATTTGAGTTAGTCAGTTGTCATCTCGTCATAACTGTGACAAAGGATCTGGCATAACTTAAACAAAGGTTTGTTTGGGTTTATAGTTCTAGACATTTCTGTCCAAGTTTTGGCTTGCTCCATTGCTTTTGGACTTGTCTAGCTGAACTGGTGGGATTCAGGCTCGGTATGTCTGCACATGATGGTGAAAGGGCAAGGTGGAGGAAAGCTGCTTGCCTCCAGGCAGCCAGGAAGCAGAGAGAGAGAGAGCAACAGGAAGGAGCCAGGGACAAATCCATTCCTCCCAGGTGCATCCCTGGTGACATACTTCCTCTGGCCAGGTCCTGTCTCCTAGAGTCCAGCACCTCCCAGTTGTGCCATCAGACAATGAATCCATTGGTGGGTCAGTCCAGGGAGTATGTCAGAGGCCTTAGGATCTGGTCACCTCTCAATGACTGTGTCCACAGGCTGGAGACCAAGCTGCAGAGCACAAGCCCTTTGAGGAAATGCAGACCATTGCAGTAGTACACGCTCAATTCTTTGTTTCTCTCGCATGTGTACATATATGTGCAGGTGCCTGTTTATGCAGGTGTACATGCCTGTGGAGGGCATAAGTCAACTTTGGGCGGTGTTCCTCATAAACTGTCTGCTTTCTTATTCTTTTTTTTTTTGTGCTGGGCATTCAACCTGGGTCCTCATGCATGCTAGGCAATTGCTCTACCATCAAACTATAACCCCAGCCCTCACCTTGTTGTTAGTGTTTGTCTGTGAGACAGGATCTCAGGTAGCACATGCTGACTTCAGACTTGCTATGATGACCTTGGCCTTCATCTTCCTCCATTTCCCCTCCATGTGCAATCCTGGCTGAGATTAGATGCACGTGTCACCACACTGAGGTCATGTAGTGCTGGGGGTTGAACTCAGGATCTCATTCATGCTAGGCAGGTACTGCACCAACTGAACTACAGCCCCTCTCTCATCTTGGTTTTTGAGACAGGGATCTAGGCCTCACTGATCAGTCTGGATAGGCTAGCTAGCAGGCCTCAGGGATCCACCTCTGCCTCCCCACTACTGGGATTACAAGTGTATGTCACTATGCTTGACTTGTGTGGGGGGATGTATGTGCATTGGGTGTCATGCTCTATCACTCTACACTTTATTCCCTTGGGAGAGGATCTCAGTGAACCTAGGCGAGGCTGGCATTCAGAAAGCCACCACGAACCTCCTGTGTCCACTTGCCACATTGCAGGATTACAGGCAAACACAACTTTTCACTCTGATGCTGGGAGCCATGCTCAGGCTCTCAAGCTGGTACAATAAGGGCTCTTATCCACTGCACAGTCTCTCCAGCCCCACTCACAGCTTTTTATATGGATGCTGGGATTCAAACTTGAACCTACCAAGGGAATCAAACTGAGCTTTCTACCCAGTCCTATGTTTGGTTCAATTATTCTATCATACTGCCACTGTTGTAAAAAAGTCTATTAAAAATGGAAGCAAGCGCTGACTGAGGCCGCTCTATCTGATGGTCCAGAATGGGCTCCATGCTTGTAATGAGGCAAGTTTGGGAAGCCCCTGCACTAAGATATGAGCCTGTATTACCTGGGGGCTCCCAGCCCACTCTCAGGTCAAGCAGAATGGCCACTCAAGAAGTCTGGGACTGTGGTGGGATGGTAAACTTCCTGCTGTGGTCTGTCTTCTTGGCCAGCTTCCTTGTCTATGTTTTGACATCAGCTCAGATTCATAGAAAGGTTGCAAGAGGAGCGCTAAGAAGCCTCACCACCGTGCCCCTGCTGTTTCCCAATGCCTGCCCTGACCACATGTGCACTGGCCTTCCTGTCTGTCCACACTATCTAGATTCTGATTTCACAACCAGGCAGGAAGGCTCTGGCCCAGCTGCTTTCTTGGCCTAGTTCTACAGAGCTTCTCTGAGTACCTAAGCCAAGCAGGGATGGTTCCAAGTACCATCACAGGCCAGCCTATTTCTGCCACAGTAGAAGCATCTCACATGGCCCCTCTTTCCAGGCCAGGGTCCTGGAGTGTGGCAAGGTTAGCCCAGCCTGCCCTGAGGCATCCTGTCACCATAATGCAGAGTTGGAGCACAGACAGATGACCCAGGAGAAATCAAAATGTGGCTCACAGCTCAGAAGACAGCAAGGTGTGGTGGCTCATGCCTGTAATCTTAATTTGGGAAGGTGCGACAGGATTTGCTTTGAGTTCAAATTCAGACTGGGCTACAGTATGAGAACCTAATCCACATAGCGAGATCCTGTCTCAAAAGCCCCCGAACTAAGCAAAACCAAACCATAATTCAAAAAGCAGGATGACAAGCCGGTGGGTTGGCTCAGCTGGCAAAGGCTCTGGCTGGCCACAGTTGCTCTGTTGTGGGGTGAGAGGACGACTTCGTTTGTGGAGGCAGTTATGTCTTTTTCTACTTTTGCATGGATTCTGGGCATAGAATTCATGTCCTCAGACTTGCAGGCATATCACGGGGCCCTTGAGCAAGTTTCTTATCGGCTACATGCCTCTGTTTCTCCATCTGAAAAGGATGGTTGTAGTAGCTGTGTGGAGTACCTGGCGACCTGACAGGAGGTACTCGCTCCTGATTGAAGAGCTGTTTTGCTTTCTAATTTCTGTGGCACAGGCGCAGGGTAAACATTGGAAGAATGAACAAACAGCCGCAATCACAAGCCGGACTGGTTTGTTGGGCTAAGGCAAAGATTCGAATCCTGAAGTCCTGGGACAAAGGCTGCGGACGCGTGAGGTGAGGCATGCAAATGACCCGGCGACATAGAGAGGCCCCGAGTACCGCGAGTGAAAATGAGAGGACGGCGGGGCGGGACATGTAAATGACCATGCACGGGGCGGGGCAGCCCATGTAAATAAGGGGCGCCGGGCGGCGTAGGAAGCGGGGCGAGGTCCAGTGCGCAGGAAAGCCCCGCGCGGCGCGTGGAGCCTGAGCGCACAGGTAGGAATGGGCGGTGGGGAAGGCTCTGGACCGGCCAGATGTGGCCGCGGAACGGAGCAGGGCTGGGACCAGGGTCCGCAGATCCTCGGGTGGGCGTGGGGCTGCTGGGCTCCCCTCCCGGCCAGGGTCGCCTGCCGTCGGGCTAGGGCCAGAAGTAGGCGGACCGCCCGCCTGCCCTCCTGCCCGCTGAAACCCAGGAAGCCTCGGCAGTCCCTACCGGGACGCCGAGGGGATCTTTTAGAAGCCGAAACTGCCAGGCTCCTCCCAGGTTCCGGTTCAGTAACCCAGGAACCTGGGTGTTTATTGTGGCAAACTGGACGTTGTATAAGCCAGCCAATCTGTGATTCAGATCCTGTCCCCAAGTCAGCACTCCTGGTCCCTGCCTTTCCCCAGTCCTCTGGGAGGTGTGGGGCCCACTGTAGCCTTTCCCCTACAGGTGGTTTTGGGAGTCTGGGGGCGTTTGCTGGGACATTAGTTCCATCGTAAAGTCTGATGGGGAAACTGAGGCTTGAGGATATGTCTGGCCAGAAGGGAATAAAGAGATTCCACAGTCCTGGCAAGGCCTCCTAGGAACTAGTCAGAGGAGTCATGACCGTATTGGGGGACACTGAGGCAGAGATGGGAGTTGACCAATATGCCTTCGGTTTGTTCTCCAGCTCATCCGTGCTCTGCTTGCTGTTTTAGTTAGGCTCTGCTAGCTGACTGAGGGAAGAACACACAGGACAGAGGGTTAGAGTATAATGGGCAGGACACCTCTTCCTAGGGAAGTGCAGTCCCTGAGCCAGTTTGGGGTGTGGGAGAGCACTTTGGCAGGTTGAGACTCAGAGGCAGGAGAAGGCATGCTGAGCTGTGGGTACAGCGTGTGTGCGCAAAGGCTAGAAAGTAGGAAAACTCCCCGTGCCACCTAGCCAACATAGAAAAGCCAGATATGTGGGAATGGAGACAGTGCTGCCGAAGGTACTGGGTGCCCTGCTGGAGGGTTTGGGTAAGTCACAGGGGCAGATTGCGGGGCCTAACCCTGCTCTTGGATCTGCAGAGCAGGGATGGGGAAACCCGGGTGAGTTGCCCAAATGACCACACACTGGTAATCGGGCAGGGTTGTGATCATCTGACGGGTTTTCAGTGTCTGGGCTGTGCTGTGAAATGCTGAGGTCTTCTACAATGTCATCTCAGATTGAGGAAGGCCAGGTGGCCAGGGAGGCTGTCCCTGAGGCAGGCACAATGGCCCGCTGCTACACACTTGGGGATGATTGAAGAGAATGCTTGTTCTTATCCACACTGCACCCTGCTGGGACCTGGGGCAGGGCACTCAGCTGGGGTGCACGTTCACACGTGGCATGTATAGTAAGAAGCTTCGTCCCCATGGCACAGGAGGTCTGCTTGGGAAGTGAGTGAAGCTTGGAGGCTGAAAGCCAGAGCTCCTGACCCAGCAAAGGCTTGATTTGTTTCTTGTGCGCTCCAAGCTCAGTCTTTGTTGTGAGGACAGTCTGGCATCGTGGTGAGGGTACATGAAGTCACTTACGCCCCATTCAAGAGTGCACCCAGGGGCGGCAGACGCTCAGGGTTAAGTGGAAAATCTGTCACTTAATTGTTATCCACAGGGATTCATCTGTCAAAGTAAGACCACTGACATCCAGTTATGTGTGCAGTGACTTTGCTGGGGTCCCTCATCAGAGAGTGACAGAGCCTTCCCACCTGGCACTGCACTGTGCCTGTTTCTACTGTGATAAGACACTCTTGAGTGTTCCTCAGTTGAGCCTCTCAGGCTGGATTTCCATTCTGGGCTGTTGTATCTGTGTGAGGCTCGCCTGTGTGGAAACAGATCCACCCGACCTGGGTTCAGACATCCAGCATGGATCAGGGCGTCTTGGAGTCTGATACTCTGGTTCTCTGAGCCTGAGGCCCGGGGTGGGGGTAGAACTAAGGACAGGGGCCCAGCTTCAGATCTGACCTTGCTGCTCTTACCTGTGTGAGCTCAAGAGAATCACCCCACTTCCTTGCACCTCCCATTTGTCAGGGTATCTGGGAGGAGGATGGCCATGAGATGGCATTTCTAAACTGTCACTTACGGGGGAGCAAGGCAGGTGACTGTCTTCTCCCACTTAGGGTGACATTGCTTTTCCAAGCTGCCCCTGGCACTTCTTTGCTCTGAGGGACCAGGTGTGCAGGACAAAGACGGGGTGTTTGGCAAAGTCCTTGAAGTTTAGACTCCCCAAGAGGAGCAGACTCACACCAGATCCACACCCCTGACCCACTGTTCCGAAGAGTCATCAGGGTCACTCCAAGGCACTGAGTGCTTGCAACTGGTTGAGGGGTGATGCCAACCCTGTTGGGTCATGAGTGGCAGCTCATACAATGAGGAGATGGTGTGTCTAAGCTCCTGGGGTTTCACAGGCACCGTCAGTCAGTGACAGGGCCAGGGAGGTGTACGGCAGAAAGATGGGAGGAAGAAAGGCCAGGAGGAGTCTCTTGAGTGGTAACACAGGGTTTCCTGTAGCCTGTGGGCTACGGGTGCCCTTCAGTCTCTTGAGCACAGCATGCCTTTCTAAGAAGCGCTGGTGTCAAGCAGTTCCAGGTGCTGCCACCACTGACTCATGCTCTGGGGCCCACAGCCTCTTGGAGGCAGCGAAGCTTCAAGTGGGGGCCCCAGCTGAGGGACTCCTAGATGCGTGGGCATTGGGAAGGGAAGAAGTGGGTTTCATGGGGTTGGTGGGAAGATCGGGGGGATGCTCTGGGACTGAGAGCCTCAGAAATAGTAACAGAATGAAGGTCAATACTCCTGTGTGTTGGGTGTCAATCAATAGGCCAGGATCAAAACCCCGAGTGACCCAGCAGTAGAGGCCCCCAGGAAGCCGACAGTCCTGAGGAGAAGGAGACTCTGAGGAGTTAGCTTTGGAGTTGAGAAAAGAGCAAGCATAAAGGCTCTAGGCAGTGAGCAAGGAATCAGTGGGATTGGATGGGATTGAGGGAGCAGGGAGGAGCCAGACAGACACCTTGTCTTAATCATAGTTTGTTTAAGCCCTGGGAGGCAAGGGACTGTAAGACACTCAAGTTTTCCGAATGAAGTGACGGAGAAGTTCAGTAACTTATTTAGGGTCACACAGCAAGCCTCTCATCTGCACCACTGGTTGTAAACAATGAAAACTAGGTTCATCAGATGAGCCCTCCTCTCCCCCATGCTGCTAAGGTGTCAGCTTTTTACTTGGCTGTGCTCATTAATCTTGTGAATGCTGTCAGGCTCCCACCCAATCAGTTTGCAGGTTATTGTTAGATGAGCCCCTTCCCCACAGTCCCAAAGAGTGGGGGGGGGGACAAATACATACGTGCATGTCGGGTTGAGCTCCTATCCCCAAGGAAGAAAACAGGCTGGTGTAGAGTCCTGGCGGGTGACACTGTGACAGCAGTCACCCACAAACCTGCATGCTTAACCTCTGTTCAAGCTCCCTGACAGAGGAGACTTTAAAAGAACAAGATTGTCTTGGTTGGATCTGGGAAGCATCGTTTACAGGTCCATTTTGGAGAACTTGAGCAGCCTGAGGTTTCCTAGGGCACCCAGAGGGGGGTGTTCCTCCTTTTCAAATGAGGAAGTAAAACCCAGAGAGGAGAGCTGTGGTCATAGCCATGGGCTGGGTGTCCTTCCAACCAGCAGTGGCAATCTCCTGTCCGCTTGCTTCTGGGACAGCGAGGTCCTACCACATTGCTCTGGGGATGACCACTGAGATCAGCTTTCTGGAAACCTCAAGTTCTTGGCCCTGGTTCAGCTCCCTCAGAGGTACTGACCATTGCCCCTCTCCAGCCCTGGGTTCCTCTAGTACAGGCTGTTCAGCTACAGTTATTCTAGGTGTTCCTTCTGAGACCTTTGGTGACTTTTGAGTTCATAGGACTTGACTTAGTTGCAGTCCTATGTTAAAACCTTTGTCGTCAGAGCTGAGGGAGACCATCACCTCTTTGGATTAGAAGTGTGTCCTGTCTCTTGCTGTCTGTGGTCATTGTTTATGAGAGCCTGCAGCCCCCTTGGAGTTTGTAATTGTTGGGCCGAAGGAGCCTCCATCTGTCTCTTCAGCGTTTCTTCCCAGCTGAAATGTATTTTTTGAGAGTACAGTTGTTTTCAGTCTTTCTTGTTTTCCAGTGTATACTTCTGGCTAAATAAGTCTGTGCTGTCCATCTGTCTGTCACTGCCGGAGAGGTGCTAATCTCTTCTTGTTTCCTCCAAGGGAGCTGTTTGGAAGTGGTGTGTGCTTTTGGAGGGTTTTGTGACAGGTAGAGTTTTCTGTTATCTCTGCTGCTGGATTTGTGGTTCTTCAGGCTGCTGTGATAGACTCGTGTGGCTTCTGTCTCAATGGTGGGGGATTTGTTGGTCTTTTAAAAGGGATTTTTTTCTGACCATTTTTTTCTGGATGTTCTGATGTGTCAGAAAGGATGTATGTGTGTGTATGTGTGCATACATGCCTATATATGAAGTCCGGGGTCTTCCTGGGTCACTGTCCTCCTCGTATGCACAGCTGGGTTTATCCTCAGAGTTTGCCAGTGGCGTTTGTCTCCCTAGCCATCTTGACTTGGGGATACCTTGTCTCTACTTTCCTAGTGTTGGGATTATTAGTGGGTCACTACACCCACCCAGCATTTACATGGGTTCTGGGGATTCAAACTCTGGACCTCATATTTGCATGACAAGCCCTTTCAACCACTGAGCTACCTCCCCACCCCCAATGATAGACGTGCGGGAAGTTCACCACATACACCTGTAATCTCAGCACTCGGCCGGCCGAGGCAGGAGGATCCTGAATTCAAGGCCAATCTGGATGACCTAGTAAGTAATCCTATATTAAAAAAATAAAAAATGTGTATGTATGTTTTATATTAAGAGCAAAGTCCTAGAAAACTCATCTGTCCGTGTGTGAGCCCAATAACCACGCCAGCTGCATATGTGGGCTCTGCTTCCCAGCTCGGTTCTCTGCTTCGGTTTCTGTTGGTCTTGGCACAACTTTTGAAGTGTCAAG